TTATCAATGAATTTACGATTATACTCTGCTGTCAATATGTAAACTTAAAATTAAAATCTCAAAGGTGGGGATTGAACCCTGTACCTTTGGGTTGAAAAAGGCATCTCCCACCAACTGGGCTACTCGACATGTAATTATAAATGTGATTCTATTTATATATATCTTAACGTATAGAAAATTTATAATAAAAATTAATTATATATAATGTATTAATTAAATATATAGATCTAAGTTATTAATAATATCTTGATTAAGTATATATACATAATTAATTATAAATAATGTAATAGTTAAGAAATATTTTCTAACTTATAAATAATAGAATAATTATGTAATTCGATTATAAATTACTAATATTTAATAATTAAATTAATATATTCTAAATTATAAATAATATAATAATTGAGTAAATATATTCTAAATTACTAATATATAATAATTAAATAAATTTATTTTAAATTATAAATATTCTAAATTATAAATGATATAATAATTAATAAAATAGATTATAAATTTTAAAATAATATAATAATTTAATAAACAAATTTAAATTATAAATAATATAACAATTAAGAAAAAATATTCTAAAAAATAAATAATATAATGATAGATATAAATTATAAGTAATATAATAATTCAATATATATATATATATATATATATTATAATAATTGAATAAATAGATTCTTAATTATAAATAATATATTAGAATCTATTTACTCAATTATTATAAAATATAAATATTGAATTATTATATTACTTATAATTTATAATATCATTAAATTATGTATATTTAAGTAATTATATTCTAACTTATAAATATTTATATTAATTGAATAAACTATATTCTAAAATATAAATGATATAGTAATTAAGTAAATATATTCAAAATTATAAATAATACAATAACTAAATAAAGAGGTTCGAAATTATGAATAAGATTAAAATTTTTATAAAGATTTATATTTATTCATATTTCAAAATAATTAAAATAATCAAAACTTATTTATATTATTTGAAGCTCATAACAGAGGATACTTTATATTTTAATTACCTTTGTTAATTCTAATTTTATTTTTATTTATTATACATTTACAAAAATTTAAAATAAGTAAACTGAACAAATAATAATTACTTAAATTATTTATTACAAATTTAAAAAGATGAATTTTATTGAAAAAAATTAAAATTTATATATTTATCGAACATTTAAAAAAATATAAAATATTATAAAAACTAAATAAAAGAAATATATACAAATCATATATAGTTATTGAATACAAAGTATTTTATTTACAAATTACCACTTAATAATATATTATATATAGAATTATCATTTTATTTTATTATAAATAAATTTAATTTAACTTAAGTTAATTTAGTTTAATTTTATTTATATATATTATATTACTTCAATTCATAAAAACATATATTTAAAATTCATTTTATATTTATATTTTTTTATTTATTTAAATGAAATTATAATTTTATTTTTATATTAAATAGTAATATATTGATTATTTAATTTTCATATTTAATTTTTATTATATTTTATTTTAATTATATTTTCTATTATTACTTTATTTTGTGATTGTTTTATTTTTTATTTTTGTTTGATTAAGTTTTCTTGTGTTCTACAGTTTTAAATAAATGTGTGTTAGATTTGTACCATATAATGATGGTGGTAGAGTGGTGTGAAGCCTTGTCTATTAGCCTTTTGACCTTTTAGTCCAAGTTCGAATCTCAGGTGCTTTACTTTAATTTTGCCCAATAAATTGGTATAAAAGCAAGGGGCAAAATAGTAAATTTTTATTTTAAAATAAAAAAAATATAAGAAAAAAATGAATAATTTTTGCATTATAGAAATATGTACTACACGTGCAGTCAAGTTGGACGGAGAGGGGGAAATCGTGCAATAATTAGTTAATACAAGCGGGTCTGATGCAATTTTTAAAATACCAGGAGAAAACGTGCAGATTTCGTATAATACAGGGGGTTATGTATATTTTACCCATAAAATTAGTAACTAACCTGTTATTTACCAAACAACTATATGATACTGGTTTAAAAAGAATACTTAAAATATTCATAACATACATTTTTTCAAATTAAAAAATATTCATATGAATATGTCAATTAATAAATTATTTTGCCCAATAATTGGTATAAAAGCAAGGGGCAAAATAGTAAATTTTAATTTTAAAATAAAAAAAATATAAGAAAAAAATGAAAAAATTTTCGCATTATAGAAATATGTACTACACGTGCATGGATGGAGAGGGGAGAATCGTGCAACAATTAGTTAATACAAGCGGGTCTGATACAATTTTTAAAATACTAGGAGAAAACGTGCAGATTTCGTATAATACAGGAGTTATGTATATTTTACCCATAAAATTAGTAACTAACCTGTTATTTACCAAACAACTATATGGTACTGGTTTAAAAAGAATACTTAAAATATTCATAACATGCATTTTTTCAAATTAAAAAATATTAATATGAATATATCAATTAATAAATTATTATCTATAGTAACTAAAAATTATAAAAATAATTGAAAACTTTGAGATAACGTATACGCATATTCATATTAATTTATTATATATTATATCATTATATCGTTTTCCTAGGATGGAGTTGCGCAGGGTGGGGTTGCTGTCGGGGCTTGGTGTGGCTCCGGCATTTGTGACATCGTTGTCGGGGCGGTCGAGGCTGTGGTTGTGGCATCTTTCTCGCCCATTTTCTCTGATCTTCCTGTTTCGGGAGCAGGGGGCCTCCGCGCGGTTGAATTCGACTAGTGGTGATAGTCGAGTACGTGCCAACGGGGTGGTGGTGGTGGATTTTGCTTCTCTTCCGGCCGTGGGTGGGTCATTTTTCAGGAGTGGATTGCAGTTTTCGTTGGGGTTTTCGCTAGGCCCTCGTTGGCAGTTTTGGGAATGGCTGGGGCTGCTTTCTTCTCTTTGAAGGTGGCCGTGTGACAGTTGGTGCATCGTGTGGGCTGAGGTGGCCTTTCTAACCCTTTCCTCTGTGACTCTGGTGTTGGGTCCGAGGGAGACTGGTGCTTCCGTTCCTGGCTAGTGGTGTTAGCCGGTTTCGGGGCATTGGTGTTGTGGGCTGTGATTTGGTTTTCTTAGGCTTATGCGAAGGGGAGGGTCTGCTCAACGGTTGCGTCCGAGACCTAGATTTCCGCTTCAGATAGGCCTTTTCGGCAGTTTCGGTGGTTTCTCGGGATGCGGATGTTTCCTATAGGTGGACTGTTCGTTCGGTAGTTTTGCTGTGGAAGGGCTTTATATTATTAGTAGTTATCTTTGTTTCCGTAGTTTTGTTTTGGTTATTTGTCGGGGTAGGGCTGTCTGTGTTTTTTTAGTTTGTGTTGTTTTCGTTTGTGTTGTCTGTGTCGTGTTTTGTTATTGTGTTTTGGTCTGGGCCATTTGGCCTCAGTTAGCCCGAGTGTCACCTTTATTACCCTGTTGGGGTCCGACACTCGGTATTACTCTGTTGGGGTCTTTGTATTGTTTGTTGTGTTTTGTAGTGTTGTTATTACCCCTTTGGGGTAGTGGTCGAGTAGTTGGTCTGTTTAGTGCGAGTTTTTATTCTAGCGTTGCTAGCGGGACTCTAGGCGGGCTTCTGACCTGTCCTCCCATTTTTTTCTCCCGTTGGGAGCTTTGTTTTTCTATTCGCACTTTTGTGCGCTTTTTGATTAATAATAGTACCTCTATCGTTTCGGAAAAAAAAAAAAATATATTTTATCATGTTTATCTATATAAAATTGCACTTATGGAAACTTTACTTCTAATACAATAATTATGTTGTGTTGTAGCACCGTACCCCTTGGTTAGATCAACAACAAATTTGTTTCATGAGTGATTAACTAAAAAAAAGTTGAAAGAAAGAATTTGTTTATAAATTTCATTGAGTGATTTAACTAAAAAAAAGTTGAAAGAAAGAATTTGTTATAATAACAACAATCTAGAAACAATTCGTCTACAAATCATAATTTGATTTTGCTACTAATAAGTATTAAAATATCATATGCTATTTTGCTCTAATTTTTCTATTCTAAAGAGGAATATATATTTTTATATTATGTAAAATTTAGAGTTTTTTTCTTTTTTTCCTTTTTTTTTGGAAAATCGCGTATTTTAGATTCGAGCAAAAATAGCATTGAAGTCAATTTTTATTGATCAATCCGAATTGTCTCCTAGGGTCTATAATTTCCTCAAAAGGTCCAATATCTATACATTATTCGAACCTTTTAAATAAGAGTGAAATAGATCTACTGAGAATTGAATATTTTCGCACAGAAGATTTATACGAGGTATTGGACAATCTAGAAAAATATTTCTCAATTGATTTACCAGTCTCAATTGATTTATCAAAAAAGAAGTTTTAAATCGGTTAGATTTTTTTAATTCAAATTAAGATGAAAATAGGTTTTGAAAATGTAGCACAATTCATATATTTGAAAGAAATTTCGAATTTTATTGAATAGATGTATGTAGAGAGAATTCGCCTTACAACGACTATTGGCTCACGAGACGCTCGCGAGCGCTCGAGTCGAGCTCGAGCCCATAATTTTCATTGTCGAGCGGCTCGATATATATTAAATTACTAAAGTACCCTTTATATATATATAAATAGTATAACACAAGTGCTTAATGGTAATTCCAATTAAAAATTTTCGAGCCAGCTATTGTATTTTCTTATCGAGTCGAGCTCGAGCCTCATAAATCGAGCTCGACCAGCTAAAAAAAAATTCATTCCTACTCGATAAAGTCAATGTTCGACTTAGCTCGGCTCGTTTGCAGCCCTAAATGTGGACTGAGTCCTCATACTGTTTCAAATTAACAATTGGTCCTTTGTTCTTTTCTATTTTCCATAAACGCTACTGTTTCAAATTAAAATATTGGTCCTTTTTCTTTTCCGTTTTTTTCAGTTTATGGAATCATATTTAAGTTCCAAAATTGCTCGATCATTCGTCGTGTTCATTTTCACGGCGTACATCTGCGCTCCTTTCATCCACTCTCTCTTCCTCTGAAATTCAATCATCTCCCGCAAATTTCACATCCTTTTGTTGATTTTATCTTATCAACTGTTGTTATCTGATAAATGTTGAATTACAAGAAGAGGAAGAAGTTGAGGGAATCATAATCACTGCAACAATTGTTAAAAAAAAAGTTGGTCGTTTGCCGGCGGTGTACGTGAACGGCCATGGGGAAGAAGGCTCAGGCATATTCGAAGCTGTTGAGGCGCCACATGTTGCGTCTATGGTGGAAGCTCGTGGTTTTGGCGTCCGTCGCTCTCTGTGTGCTGGCGTTTTTCAGAATCCAGCAGTATTCTCAGCCGCCGGCCTCTTCTTATTCCCAAACCCATATGAGCTCGCAGTTGATGGGCGTTCCTAAGGTCGCGTTTCTGTTTTTGGTGCGGAGGAGTTTGCCCCTCGATTTTCTCTGGGAGAGCTTTTTTGAGGTTTGTTCGATTTTTTTGATTGCCTAGAAATTAAAAGAGGAAATGAATTTCAGTGTCACGGTTTTGCAGTATGCTTTGTTAATTTTCTGAATTTGATACTCTTGGAATTTCAGTTGGAGTATTTCAGAAGAAATTAGTTCTATACTAATGCCTTGAGACAGATTCTGTTATATTACTTTTTGTAGACGATGAGTTCAATTTCATTTTGCGGTTGTAATATTTCTTTATGGTTGCAGAATGTGGACAGGTCAATGTTTTCAATATATATACATGCTGAGCCTGGGATAGTGTTTGATGAATCTACTACAAGGTCGGGTTTATTTATCAATCGGCAATTGAGAAACAGCATTAAGGTATTGTTTGGTTACTGACATTGATAATTGGGGATTTAAGTTGTAAAAGGAGAAGTTACAAAATAATCCTGAAATGGATTAATTTGGGAAACATAAAATGCAGCTGAAGAGAAGTTTGAGAAATTGTGCTAGTGTAGTTTCTTTCAGTTTCATGTTTGTCGATAAGGACAAAGATTGTATTACTTAGGTTTGATATTATACGTGTTTTTCTGATCATCTCAAGTTTGATTAATTATTTATATTGAGGTGATGTGTAGGTAGCGTGGGGAGAAGCAAGCATGATAGCAGCTGAGAGGTTACTATTTGAAGAAGCCCTTCAGGATCCTGCAAATCAAAGATTTGTTCTCTTATCTGACAGGTTTTCTTCCTTAGAGCCAGGAGAAAAAAGTGTTGCATAATTTGAATTGTTCTTATCATGCTTATCATCTTCTTGTGCTGGAGAATCTAAATGAAAGTGTGGATAAATTAAAATTGGCATCATATGGATGGTGTGGAGCTTTTCTCTCTAACCATATTTTCAGAATTTTTTTTCCTGATATCAGTAACAATAATCGACAACATCCATGTGGTTATACCTTATGCAAAATTTTGTTTGTCTTGGTACATACAGTTCAGGTCATTTTTATGTTTACATCCTAAGTTGCCCCTTTGAGCATTGATAGTTTTCTGACACTAGAAGTTTCATCTCTACAGCTGTGCCCCTTTGTACAACTTCAGCTATATTTACAAGTATCTGATGGATTCTCCAAGAAGTTTTGTTGACAGGTAAATAAAAAGTTCCGAACCAGCCAAATTGCTCTTCATTTATGTTGCCAACTTATTTAGTCTAATCTACAGGCATTTTGAAACATTATTTTGTGGAAAATTATAGATTGTGAATATTTTTCCCCAGTTTTGTAGATAAGAAAGATGTCCGCTACAATCCAAAGATGTCACCAGTTATACCCAGGAACAAATGGCGGAAAGGGTCACAGGTACTGTTTGATATGTCGATTTTGTCTTGAGTGGTTATGAACTACTTTACCTTTGAATATGTTTTAATTTAATAAGTATCGTCATTTTACTACTCCAGTGGGTCACCTTAATCAGAAGACACGCAGAGGTAGTTGCAGATGATGAAATTGTTTTTCCAATCTTCAAAAAGTTCTGCAAGGTACGTAACTTGTTTCAGGAGTTTCTCTCTTTCCTTGTATGATTTAGATTGTGTACTGAAGATTTTCTCAAAATTTTCGCTCTTCAATAAATAAACAAAAAGAATGATTTGGCTTTGCCTGTTTCCTGATGTGACTGAAAATGAAATTGCTAAATCACAATTTTCTCTCTTCAATAAATAAACATAAATCTACCTCGAGAAGATATTATTTTGATGGTTCTTTGAGCCATATTGTAGGCTGCAACTTATGATGTTCTGTTTCTGCAGAGACGTCCACCAGTTGATCCAAGTTTAGGCATAAAGAATCGTGTGAGTTAACATTTCTGCCAATTATTGTGTTAATTAGTTTCCAATTATGTAGTACTTCCATGTTTCATGAATGCTGCTCTTTCAATATCTATGTTTTGAGTAATCTCGGCTAATAGTGTCGTACAAATTGGATGCAGATACTTCAGAAACTGCATAACTGTATACCCGATGAACATTATGTGCAGACCTTACTTGCAGTAAGAACATATCACTTTGATTTCCCCTACACAATTTTTGTGTAATTTCTTGTAAAGCTAAATTTGTTAACAATTAGTCTTCTGCTTTGTGCCCTTCTTTTGTTTTTTGGTGGTTGTTTTTAGATGAATGGTCTTGAGGCTGAGCTTGAAAGAAGAACAGTAACGTACACTTTATGGAACCAATCCAGGGCGACACCTACAGATGATGTGACTTGGCATCCTTTTACATTTAGTTATGGAGATTCAGGGCCCGAACAGATAAAAAGAATAAAGGTAGACTTACTTCACTTGCTCTACTGTTATACATGATTGGTGAAAAAATACCAGGCATGAGGTTCAGCATAATTACACAAAGATCTAATTAATCTTTCAAAATCACAAATACCACCTAAATGGTTGTTCTATTTTAGAATGGCTAATTGCCGGAAAAAGATCGTTATTCTTTTCAAAATTGCAGATTTAACTAAACCTTTTTTAGTTTGCATTTAAATACACGACCTTTTAAATTTTTGGAGATTCTAGACATTGGGTTCTACCAACAATTATAATATTGTTTGGCAATGCAGTCCAGCAATTACATGCGCACGCCGTCCGACAAATTACACACAGGGAATTGCACACAAACGCACATAGTCCGATATATCAAATCACCAAAACTTAAAATGTCAATGTTTAAATGCATACTTGAAAAAGTTTGGTTAATATACAATCTTCGACAAAGTTTCGATTTTTTTAGCAATTAAGGCTTTTTCACAATATGCAGTCTCAGTGTGGAGGTTATTTATCAAGCATGTACAAATCTCAAGGGTGTGTGAACATTTTAAAGGGATAACTATAGTTTTCCTATGCAGTTGGGTGGTTTTGTAATTATATCCTTTTATTTGATCACTGTTCATTACTTTTGCTTTTTGATATAACATAACGTATGGTTTTGCAGGATATCAACCATGTAAACTATCAAACGGAGTTCAGAATTGAATGGTGCAGTAACAATTCCACATTGGTTCATTGTTTTCTATTCGCAAGGAAATTCTCTCTAGGAGCAGCCATGCGTCTTCTAAGTCAAGGGTTAGTTGGTAATTTGGATGTCTTGGCATTAATGGAGCCACCACCGTGATTTTTTTTTTTTTTTTGGGGGGGGTTGGTTGGTTGGTTGGTAGGGGGTACCATCACTAATCTATGCACAGAAAACTATGATTTTGCATTGGTAGTTTTGCATATGATTTTACATACATGTGGAGAAACACCATCTGTTCGTCGCTGTTAAAGAATAGGTTAGTGAAAATAGTCTTCTTTGTAACTGCTTAGTTTATCCGTAAAACCAAGAGCCATAGACATACTTTGAGTAGCTTTACACCATCACTGTGAAGATAAATTTGTTGCTGTCGAGTTCTTTAACGAAAATTTTCAGGACAACTCATTGTAGTATAAAGGGATATAATCAAATGCCACTTTATGTCAAGTTGCAGCTGAAATCTATGTTATCTTCAGTTATTTTAATACACAAATATCAACACCTAAGGATTTTAAGATGTTCACTTTTGTATTCACACCCAAGTGCGTTCTTAAAGAGTTGTCAGTTGTTTTTAACCTTTGATTTGCAATTGTTGTACCATGGAATTAGATCCGTAGTACATGGAACTCGTGATGAATCTCACTATGAAAGTTTCTTCATATTGATCACTGATAACTAGTGTTTTAATCACTCCGTACGAGCCAAACTTGAACATTTCAAGCTCGTGTTCGATTTAATTCGTGTAAGTTTGTTTATTATTCGAACAAAAATCCATATTCAAGCTTGTTCGTTTATTTCTTCGTTAAAGTTTGAGTTTCCACATATTAGAATAATATAATGACCGAGCTTCTAAATCTAGTGTTCAGTTCGTTCGGAGTCATTTGGTACGCAAAAATAAAAAGTTTTGAAAACAGAGAACATATGTTTTGTTAATTTAAAATTTTTTATTAAAATTATTATGCATATATATAAATATATTATATAACGTCAAATGCATGTTACCATCCTGCGTTTGTTCGATTAAACAAACGAAATAGTTTTGTTCAAATTGGAACGCGTATTTGTTACGGCTAGTTTACATCTTCATCTTCACTTATAAGCTTGAAAATCTTTTATGACACATTCATTAATCAGTCTTCATTTTACTTATTTACATAATTGCATTGTTCGTTCACATTCAAGAATGAACAGGCAAATCAGCAAATGCCATATATCAATCACAAATGAGGATGAATATGCATGTGATGTTTGATGTCTAACACCCCCGTATTCATCACTTGTCACATGCTTTTGTGATATTCATCTATATGTACTTCTTCAAGAGATTCTTGATTATCATGCAAGTGGAAAGAGTGATGAATCTTCATATTCATTACTCGTACAAATTAACTGCCTCCTGTTATTTAACTTTTGTTTCACTCCAATGCATCACATTCATTACACGTACAACTTAATATTTGTTTATATGGAGAAAACTGATTAATTTGTTTATATGGGTAAAGAAAATTGATTGTACCACCAGGATTTTCAGACTTAACCATCCGTAATATTATTAAACAAAAGTTGGTCGATATAAATTTACATTTGATATCAATCGAGCCAAAGATAGACAGAGATACAGTATATATATGCAGATAAGAAGAGCAGCCTTGATAATTTCTATACAATCCCAGAGATACATAGATTCCATTTGGTCGAAGGGACATCTATCCCCACCTAAAATAACTCTACCTTTTGTACATTACCAAATCACATGGATATTTCTTTTTAACAAGGTCTTTTGCTTTGCTCTTCACTTCGCAAAAGAATACACAGTGGACGTGTGCCGGTTTTCTCTTTGCTTGTAGTACATTCCCACTATCGACCCATCTTGCAAACCAAACACACAAAAAAGGGTCAAATCCATTCTTATACAGGAATAACTTGTTCATTTTGACTTTCGTTGCAAGTCAAAATAAGGCCCTCGACATATGTGGGGAGAAGGCAACAAGCCCAACGGCATCCAGTCGAGACGGGCTCAGTGGGTGGCACAATCATCACAACATTTTCATGGCGCCTAACTACACCCATCACACTCACCGTACTTCCTTCTTTTATATAACTGCGAAAAGAATAAAAAATAAAAATATTACCACAAAATCTTTATTTTCTTACCAAAAAAAAAAGATCATGATTTTAGGCAGAGCTCGAGACTTGATAAAGAAAAATGGAATTCCAGAAATATTATATGTATCAGAAGTATATCTTGTTTAATATACCAGAAAGTGAGAAATATGTCCACCTAATAATAATAATCACTGGTCTTTAGAGCGGATAATAGAATGTTAAAATTACGCTTTTACCCTTCTTTAAGTTGCATCACGTGGTCGTCACCCGACAAGCCTCGGTCTGAAAGCCAGCGTAGAAAGTTAGGAGATGGGTCTTTGTGATCCTTAGAGACATCAACAACAACAGTGGACTCAACAAAAGGGGCAACCTTTGAACCATAGCCTGCCTTCACTAGAGCTCTCAAACCAGATTGAAAGTCTGATATGTAAAAATCAGCAGCATACTTCTGTAGATTACAAGGAACGAGAGGGAATGAATCAATGAACTACTAAAATAAAGAAGCTAAGGACTTCAAGTAGTTTCATTTTTACAATCAAACACACACTCTTTTGTTGCCCAGAAAAAAAAAAATATATTAGATTTGAAAATGAATCTATCCCAAACGCACTTCCGTTTTAGCATCTGGTAGAATAATGAGTTGAAGCCTTATCAAATAAGGATGTAATGAGAACAAACTGGATCTAGCCATTAAACTAGAGTCATACTGCCTATCGGCTGCTAGGGAACTAAGAGTTTTTATACTAGTGTGTTGCGTAACTATCAGCAAAGGTTTGGAGTTCTTCAAACATATATGGTCATGGTTAGTTTTAATTTCATCATGGGAAAACCTAATATTATGAAATGCAGATGAGATATTAATGGTGTTCCCCACGTCGGAGATTTTCAAGAAACGTAATTGTTTTTGGATCAAGCAGTCTCACAACACATAAAACCCTGGAAATGCCTTACAGATGTCCAGCAAAATGTTAAAAAAATCCGCAATGAAAACTTTAATGACCAAATGAAGACGCAAAATACATTTGCAGCAATAACAGTATACCCAACAAAACCACTAAAAGAAAACCAATAGTAAGATATAAGATTCAAATATAGCAGTAAATTGAATAAATAAATGTTAACAGTATACCATCCCCAACAAAACCACTAAAAGAAAATCAGTAGTAAGATATAAGAGTCAAATATAGCTGTAAAATGAATAAATAAATGTTAACAGTATCAAATTGCAGGTTATTTTTTTTGCTTCTTTTTTCTTCTTTTTCTTCTCTTTTCTTTTCTTCTAATTCTTTTTTCCCCTTCTTCGGAAATGCAACTAAAGATTTACAGTTACATGAAGCTGCACATATGACTATAATGAAACGGTTATAAATTATAAGCAAAACAGACTGACTGACCTCTGAGTATCTGCATCCCCAAGAGAAGAACCTTTGTTTAGCATTTGATGGTTTTCCACCACATCCCCTATATTCAAATAATTCTGAGGAAACATACACACATCTTGGTATTCTCTGGAAAGAGGTTTCAAGCGGTATGCTGCCACAAGTGACGACCTAAACAAACAATGCAACAAATGATTTTTAATAATTTGAGATGAATAGTGGCTTAAGAAGCCCATTTAACTGACTGCAGATATTAGTGCATCATTAGCAGGAGGAGCAATATCATGTACATAATTTTGCAGACCACAACACTCACATTACACGTTGTTTCTAAGATAAGGGAATATGTACAGAAGCTACAATCTGACAGCATAGAGCATGCATCAACTCGAAGAAATTCTCATATTACACTGTTCTCTTCCTATTTCACAGGATACAAAAACAGTGTCTGGAGGAAAATGATTGATGCACATACTCTCTTGTACGTAATGGGGAAGACATTCTCACATGAGGTATGGCCCACTGAAACAAAAAAAAAAAAAAAAATGAACCGGTCCCACCCCATGTGAGAGTGTGTACACCATTATGCAGATGTAGCAACTGAAACATTTTCATTATCATGTCTTATTTTATGTTTCTCCTGTTTGGTTCCAACTTGCCCATGCTGAAAGTGGAAGAATAATGAAAAAAACTACTAATCGTGTAGAAAATAGCACCTCCAAAAATGGAAAACTGAGAGCAACACTATAAAGCAGGTTTCTGACGAGAGAAAAGAAGTATATACATGTGTGGCTCGACACGGAAAATGCATGAAGTTACCAAGATAAGCTTATGAAATGTTTGATCTTGGCAAAGAAACAGGAAATGACATACTCGAACCAAGGTCCTATAAGGACCAAAATATGATCGGGTATGTGACCTATTTCTTAGTCACGCAAGGAGTACATTAGACTGGGATAGAGTAAACATGTGCCACCTTCAACTTCTAAGAATATTTAACACTTGATAAAAGTCCACATAAAGGCTAATTAATGCCTTTGGTCTATAAATCCATGTAACTATTTACTATTAGCTGGATCTCTAACTTAAGCATTAAAGGTTATAATAGGAAGCCACCCAGCAAGACCAGCATGTATCTAATTGCCAATAGTTCGAATTCATAGTAGATCAGACTAGGCCTTCATGAAGCATCTAGAGATTTTTATTGATCATGGCCCCAGATAATTTGGGATTATATGCATAAGAAACTAATAAATCTAAATGACTATCACCAACATTTCTTTTAGCCATATTATCATCAACCAAAAAATTCAATGCAAGAACCAATCAACTGGGGCAACTTGTTGATAGCTATTTTTATCATCGTTTAGCTGGACATTATGCGGAACAAGGTTAACCCCACTTTTGATGTTGAAATTGTGGTTCTATTATCACACACAAAATTAAAAGCATTGCATTGACATTGAGGCAACTGCCCATACAGCTTAAAGTTGGCCTACAGTTTATTGTTAAGAAATGATGTCCACAAAAACAATTTTTACTTATCAAGTGCAAATAAATAAGATGTCCATGTCCTAAGTCCTAGGTATTCCATAACCAAATTAAAGAGCATGAATAAATACAGATGTCCTACCAAATTCAAAAACTCCTGCTGCTACCATATGAAAATGAAAGAGTAAAATGAATAAGAGAGTAAAATGATCTGTTCCAAGCAAGTTCTGAAGTTTCTAGTTCATATAGATTAAGAATGTGAACTCACGTGTTGGAAAGGTAATTTATGAGAAATTATGAGTCCTCAGTTACACTGATATATGATTATGCTATGCTAATTCAGAGACTACAAGTCTGCTTCCAGAACCACAAGTAAATATATCAAGAACAATTATCCTCAAGATGTGCCAACCAACAATTCAAGTCAAAATGGTCCCAGAAAGGGAAAACATTAAGGAAAATAAAAAAAAGAACAGAAAAAGAGCTCCAACTACCATATAAAGCATGCAGCCAAACCCCGATACCACCAACCGAAGAAAATGAATCCCAGACTGAGTAATTAAATACCTAAATATCACCAAATAATATTAAACAGTTGACATAATTCAACGAACAAAAAAAAAAAACTGATAAACACAAGACTGAAGGAGTGGTAATTACCCCCGTGACCTTGACGAACTGCCCATCAATGGCGCCCCTCAGCTCAGCATCAGGATAGTTTTTCAAGAATCCCAGAATACCTCGCTTTTTATAAGCATAGTTCCATATCAGAATCACAACAGCAGGGACCAACACCGCCACAACCGCCACCAGAACCACCGGCTTCTTCACCGCCGCCATGAGAAACGCCCCCACCACTACCCCCATTACTACCACCACCAAAAACACCCACATTGCCACCCTCGAAACCCTAAACCCTAGTTTCATGTCCTCGCCCAGGCTGGTAACAGCCGAACCGTAGGCAGCCTTGTTGAATGAGCTGGGAATTGTCGGCGCGTCCAGCTGCCCGGACCTCCGGTTCGAGCTGGTCGACAGTGGGCCCGAGGTAATGAGGCCGGTCGGCTGAATCGGCGTCATCGGGCCGGAAAACGAAGAGGAAGAGGACTTCTTACTCATCGGCCCAGAATTCGTCTTCCTCGGACCCATCTGACCGGAATTAGAACCAGATCTGGCAGATCCGCTATTGTGCTGAGACGCCGACGGCGGGCGGGACGGCAGCTTGGGCAGACCGCCTGTCGGCGGGTGGTGGTCCCCTCCAGATACATCGACGCCATACATTCTTCCGATCTCTCCGGACTTCTTGATGTCGCCGCCTGTGTACGGAACGGCGCGTGACGCCATTATCGGCTGTCGATCCTTGAGCTGCTGCTCGGGCCGGCCCGATACCATGAGCCCGTTGCTAAGCTGGTGCGACCCGGTTCTGGTGGTCATTTTTTTGTTTCGGGTTGTTTGAGCTTCGGGCTACAAAAATGGAAGTCGATTGTGCACTGGGGAGAAAGGGGAAAAGCTCTTCAGTGGAGTGTGTCTGTGTGTGTGTGTGTGAGAGAGAGAGAGGTAGTGTCAGTGTGTAGGTGGAAGGGATGGGAGAGGGTGGGTAGGGTGAGGTTAGTGAATTGACTAAAATGGGCCTGATCTTAATGTAAGACGCTTCTGCCCTTCGAGACTGTTTGGGGCCAGTGACATGCCAAGATATGCAAAAGAGAAGCCCAATACAGGACATTTACTACAGATGTATGGGCCGCTTAGGTAGCCCAATGATGAGCCTGCAATTCAGACTCTAGTACAAAGTGGCTTGCACATGCGTATTGTTTGTTATTATCTATTTTAAAACGATAGATTATATTCTTCAAAAGAGAGATTACAAGATAGAACTCAAAGGTTAACATTATTTTAAGTGGTAACAAAATAAAAATAAAAAACAAAATAAAAAACGTATGGGAACTGTATTTTCTCTGGTCGGAACCATATTTACACATAATACAATACCACCACTAAACGTGCCGAATTGAAAACCAAGCCCATTTGTTTAGCCAGGTTAACGGGCCAGCCCGGCCCGCACATAAGTGAGACTGAGAGAGTGTCTAAGATGGAATTGGTCAAATACCAGGTGTCCTCAATCCTCATCGTCTTTAGTCAACACATTTAGTTGAACACAAAGACTGGCATTTTGGCACTTGATTATTGACTTATATTCGCCCTAAACTAATATTTACTCCACGAAGTCAATTTTGTAAATGTTGTACTTTTAGTCATTAAAATGCATTCCGAGATTGAGTTTGAATTTTCAAATCTCAGATTTCAATTTTCAGCTACTTATATTCGCCAGAAAAAAATAAATTTTATGGCCGTTCATTTTAGTCACTCATTTTGAATTTGTGTCGTGTAAAAATTTAGCACCTATAGCTATCAAATATTATCCTTGTTATTATTGTGTACGTGTGTCCTACTGGACCACGAAATAGTAGAAATCACATAATTCCCCCAATAACAAAATTGAACTAGGTACCTTGTTTCATAGAAAATGACAAAAATGTATAAACATCCAAAAAGACCATAATAATTAGTTATAAGAAAATGCAAGCAATCAAATAATTTGAACAAATTTGCATTATTTGATCCAGCTCGTGTCACGCAGTTTATTTAGAAATACATTACTGACTGGTCTAAATCAATACTTCATATAACTTCATTAATATGGTTTATTGTGTAACTGTAGTATAGTTTCAACCGCAACAACAACAACAATAACAACAACCCAACAAATTTTGAGAAGTACTGAAAAGAATTTAATGGTGGACTTGAGTTGTAGAGAAAACAAGTCATCAAAGTCTTGAATCCTCGAACCAAAATAAATGTTACAAATGTTGATATTTCCCTCTATGGTTACAACTTACAACAATCAATCAGTTCATTTGAATCAATTCAATTTCCCTATTTTTAATTTAGATTAGATTAGCAGCAATCATAGTCACTGATACGGCATGATATAGACGTAAGTAGCGGTTCATGAAAGACCGGTTGTGATCCGAGCTAGGCGGAGGCGATCACCTAGACAGAGGGGCATCTTAGCAGCTAGGCGCTTCGGCACCTAGGCAGCTAGGCACTTCGGCATCTAGGCAGTTAGGCGCTTCGGCACCTAGGCAGCTAGGCAGCTCGGCACCTAGGCAGCTCGGCCAGAGGGTTCTGCCGAGAGGACCAGAGCCTGGGGGTGGCTTCGTGACCAAGTCACAAGGAGGTTTGGAGCGATAGGGACTTTGAAATTCTGGATATCTTTGATCTAGTTTAGGATAGACACAAGGAAGACTCCTAGACCAACAAGAATTCTTCGGCTTGCGCATTACTTCACTTATAAAAGGGAACAGGTTCATTCGTTTTACACAACACACACACACATATTATCTCGTTACTCCGTTTTCTCTCCGAAACACCACCACTGACTTGAGCGTCGGAGTGTCCACGCCTGGACCACCCCCGGCGTGTTTTGCAGGTACCGGCGATCGAGAAGGTTTAATTCGGTTCAAGAGGAGCAATCGAGCGGTTCAGGTATTTGTGGTATAACAGTCACCCCCCACTATCACAACAAACTGCGCTTCTGCCTAATCCTTTTCCCCTTTCTTTTGAGCTAATGCACAAATCTTTATTCTATCTAATAGGAGTAAAAGTTAGCTAGACATATCATGAGCCGAGACTTTTTTTTAATTATTATATTACAAATTTTTGTATGAACAATCTTATTAAATTGATTGACCAATTGTTATTTTTTTATTAAGAAAAAAATTGCATATCTATGTAATGAAACATCATAGATTTGTTTATATTATTTTATAGATATTTCAGTTTGAACGTATATTGTTTAATATTTCGTAAATATATAATATGATGCTCACATATCCAATACGACAGCTAAACTTTATTATATGGTCCCAAAATTATGCAGCAAGTTTCAAACACAAATACAATAAAATAAGTTCAAAATGTCAATTCGAAAAAAGAAAAAATAGAGGCCACATTTTTCAAGCCTAGCTAGCTGACTCAGCACACTTGACGAAAACTACATGGTCTAGAAGACTAGAATACTGATAACGTACCTAGGCTAGGAGAATTAATTTTGTGCAGTACGGCTAAGTAACCAATCATCTTTACCCAAAAATGGTCTAAATTCTCAAATCAGCCAACTTTGTCAAACCTTGTATTGAATTTACAAAACACACATCATTGGAATAAAAATTCTTTATCACTCTTTTTTCTTATCTTTTAGTTTTTGGGAACCTGTTGATATGATAAGAATACAATCACAAACAATAAATAAGCAAAAAGATGGGTGTTATTTTACTGCTAAAAAGACTACTAATCAAGCACGCTTAGACACATTGGACAAAGAAAACAAAAGAAGTCATCAAAAAAGTGTGAAGACCGTACAGAGAAAAAGAACAGAGCACACAGAACAGAAAATGACGATGGCTTTGTTTTTTATACATATCAGAAGAAAATAAAATCAAAGAACTCAACAGTCTCAGACAATACTTCCAACACACCACCACACCCAATCAAAACCAGATAAAACAGTGAACCAAGCAAAATAACAAATACCACTGCAAAAGACAATAATGCAATTCCAAACAAATAATAGATGAAGATATAGGATGATAACATGGAATTTGAGAAAAATAAACAATTCTCAGAAAGCTTGTAAATGTGAAATGGATATATAATACTACCATGGATAGTCACTTTTAAGCTAAAAAACTAGCTACTTGAAAACTCAAAGTAACTAATGGGGATAAAATTCCAAGACAACCAAAAAAAAAAAGCAGCAAACTATACAGATAAAAATGTCACAAACCCTTTTTGTGTTTGCAACTATTCATCATCTAAATCATAAGTGGGACAATGGGGAGGCACTGAGCTTTTTTTAGGTTAATGAAAGGATACTAATAAAGTAAAGCACTTTTGTGAATTTTCTGCTATAACAAACACTTCAATCAATTTCGAGCTCCTACTAAAAGAAAATTACCAATTTTTGGTTCTCAATCACTTTCCAACACTTACTGCAATTAATCACTTCCTACAAATGCAGTAAGTGAAATTCCAAACACACCTCAAGATGGCATTTGGGTAGTTTGAATTTGAAAACTGGATTTTTACGAAATGAAAACCATACCACGTACTAGAATAGGTAAATTGCAAAAACTCAGAACTCCAATGGAAGATTAAGTCCAATTAAAGCTCAAACTTAATCAATAAAATCTACTCGATGCCATTAATAAAGCCTCAAGATGCAAATGGAAACAAAATCAAGAATCAAGATCACCTAACCATGAAATTTTCAGCAGAAACTAACGGCAAAAGATAGAAAATGATGGCATTACAAACTAGATATAATTTACATTGTAGTCGAGGTGTTGTATGTGCCACAAAAAGAACCAACCCAATACAAAAAATGGAAGCTTGCTTGGGTTGTACAAAGCAAAGCGCAACTAAGCAGAAAGCAAAAAATACCAATTAACCAACCTTTTTAACAATCCCTTGTTTTAGGGATTAGCCCCAATTTGTCTTCAACCCCAAACGCTCCATATCCTCTCCCCGAGAAAGCTCACAAGTCTCCTAACCGAACCCTTCTCCATCTCCTCCTCCTCTGCCTCCTCATCAATATCCTCGTCTCCGGCGCCGCCGTCGCCAATCTCGCCGGCGCCTCCACCCGCTGCCGCCAAGCTTGACTCCCCATAATTGAAGTCCGGCACAGCAGCGACCGTCTCAGGGCTTTTAGGCTCAACAGCCAGTATCCCAGCACTAATTTTCACCTGGACATTTTTGCCCTTCCTCCTCTCCCGCTTGTTCTTCTCCTTCTTACTCCCCTTCAGCAGACTCTCCTCGAAAGCGTCGATTATCTCGTGTATGAGCTGCCGGTTGGGAGACGAGTCCCACTTCACCCAGTAGCTCATGTAGCACCGGAAGCAGTTGCAGCTGAAGCACGACGGGTGGTCGTCTCCCTTGGAGCCGCCGCGGGCTGCAACGCCGGCCGATACGGAGGACTTCTGGCCGCTCCTGCGGCTGCTGCTGGAAAGGCTGGCGGAGGAGCAGGATATTAGGTACGCCAGGACCTCCCTGTCCGCCGGAGACAGGGCGGCGGTGAGGGCCAGAATCGCCGCCGGCAGAAAGGACAGGAGATGCTCGGAAACGACCGACGGCGTCGGGTGGACCGTGCTCTTCCGATAGAGCTTCTTCATATTAGGAAATTGTAGAGAGAGAAAGAGAGCTGCGATTTTTAGGTTTTACAGAGATGAGAGAGAAAGTCAGAGAGATAGGCTCCTTTTTTTACCTTGTTGATGGTTGGGCATTGAAATTGGTGACGTGTATTGGGCGGGGGAATGATCACATGCGACGCAGGCGCTGGTGTAGGAGCAGCGTTGAACAGTGGTTTAGGGAAAGGACGGAATTTGATTGGTGGGGAGTAGGCAAAATGATTGTGGACCCGCGGCTGCGAATCTCTTGGTCACATCTATCTAATTTTTCAGAAGTGATTGTATGTTTTGGGCGCAACATTTCTGCAGAATTCTAGGGGACGGCCTCGGCTTTTGGGTTTTTTACCTGCTTCAACAATTTTTGGGCTCTGTTGGCCAGGCCCATATTCTACTACAATTTCTCTTTTTTAGTGGAATTTACATCCTACACTAGCATATTTAATTTATATAACACTTTTGTATCCCTTATATTTTTATTTATAAAATTACCTAAAGAAGCTAAAAATATTTCAATTATACCTAACATACATTGTTTAACCCTTATTACCTTTTTATCTGCACATTAAATGCTAATGAGATATTTAATAGAAATTAAAGATCTACTTACCTAAAAAATAGGAATTGCACATTATCTGCACATTACCTTTTAATCGTTAAAGATGCACATTATATGCACATTAAAGATTTTTTGTTCGCAATTTTTTTTGTTTGTGGGAATTTCAGATCATCATCGATCGGGAGACTGGCATATCAAGGGGTTTCAGATTCGTTACTTTCAGCGACGAAAAGGCGATGAGGGACGCGATCGACGCCATGAATAGCCAGGAGCTCGACGGGCGGAACATCACCGTGAATGAGGCTCGGTCCCGCGGTGGTGACGGAGGTGGGGGCTTCCGTGGTGGTTTGATCATTATTGCTTCTTTTGAATATGGGTTCTGCATTGGTTTTTTCGTCTGATTTAGGATTGGTTAATTCTTTGTATTTGAATTATCATGTTTGCTTGGTTTTCATATTGTTTTTATGGGCTTGTGAGTTTCATATTGTATTTGAATTAAACAGGTAGGTGTTGCTCGAGGGCGGCGATGACGGGTGGTGAACGGACGCCGGCGGCAATTCGTCGTGGTTGCAGGCCTCGCATGTTCACTGAGGACATGTTCGTGGAGCTTGCCATTGATTGATTATTAGTTTGTTAATTTCTAGGAGGTGGTGTAGATGAAGTTAATGTAATTTGATTTGGTTGAATTTATTAATCATGAAGAATTTTTTGGTAGCCTTTATTTTTTGGGTTTATTTTAGAGTATATGTACAATATATCTACAGTATATGTTTACGGCAGTATTTATTGGATGTTGCGTGTATAGACAGGCAGTATATGTGGTGTGTATAGGGAGTATATGAGAAGAATTTTTTGTAAATTGTTCGGTATATGTTGTGTGTATAGGAAATATATATTCAGTATATTAAAAGATTTTTTGGTGTAGGGAATATAAGTAACATGTTATAATATGTTTATAAACTATATATATACTTTTATGTATAAAAGTACAAAAAAAAAAAATTGATTGAAGACATGTTTTTCATTGCAACATATACTGAATATATACTAAAATAAACGCAACATATACTCACTGTTCTGTACATGATTTATATGTTTCCATCAGATACGAAAATTTACATGTTGCATGATTTATATGTTACCATCAGTACATGTTGCGGGTATATGTTACGGGTATATACAGTATATACCAAAGTTGTACAACACACATATACATAAAATATACATAAAATATACACTCGAGATTCTAGTAATTCAAGACAGCGATATATTGTTACACAAATATACCTAAAATATACTTTAAATAACACTCGAGTTTCAAGTGTTTCTCAAAAATCGATTTAAAAACCCATATATACATAAAATATACTTAACATATACACTCAAGATCATCGTATTTAATTGCTTTATTAATTTGGAAAAGGTAAAATAATAAGTAAAAATAATAATAGCAACAAAGAGAACATGGACACAGGGGCGTTCTATCTTGTCTAGAGAGAGAAAACTATATATCCTAAATCAAAATTATAGTCCCTGCATTTCAAATTTCCATGTCTCAACACTAGCACCGGCTATCATCTCCCCATATTCTAGCACCCAATTTTTTGATCGATTTTAGGATTCACCCAATCGCCCGTATGGAAGCTGTATTTTTCTCAAATTGGATCTGGTTCTGCAGATTGAGTCATCGATTGGTCCTGCCTGATGGATGATCTGGACGTGATGGCCCGAGATTCGGGCTCGGGGCCCATGGAAAATCCAATTCGACGAGGTCCGCGCCCTCCGATCGTCGATCCATTGACGATCTGTTGGTCGGCGATGCTTTCGGTGGGCAGTCGAATTTCACGGCAAGCTCGAAGAATCCCGATAAAAGCAACAAGCACTCGAATAGAGGTTTCTAGTGCTCGTGGATCGTCGGCGCGCACGTCCTTCTTGTCGCCGGAAAACTGGCGGCTCTACTTCTTGCCGAGGAAGGTGACAGATTTTTGAGAACTTTCTGAGGGATATTTTCCGGATGCGGACGGCTTGCTGCGTGAATCTTGGGTCTTTATGGATTTGCTGCGGGAATGGAGATCTATAACTGATTTGTAGACATTAATGTAATTAATTGTTGTCTATTAGATATATACACAATTAATTGTGTATGAATGGTAATTTTGCAATTTTTTAATAATCGTGTAGGATAATCGAAAATTTCCCATTTTTCTATGTTAGAGCAAATTACCCAGTGAACCATACATTATAATTTTTAATTGTATAATTATATACCATGTATAATTAATTGCAAAGCAATTAAAGATGAGAAATGTTATAGGTATATAATATTGTACATAGGGGTGTACACAACACTCATATTGAGTGGGGCCCACGAAAAATAAGTAGAAAAATGTTATAGGTACATAATATTGTACATAGGGTGTATATAACACTCACATTGAATGGGTCCTACCAAAAATAAAAAATCAAGTGGACCCCATTCCATGTGAGTGTTATGTACACCTCTATGTAAATTTATTATGTACTTGTATCATTTTTCAAATAAAAAATCAAGTGGACGGGCTCCATGTGAGTGCTATGTACACCTCCATGTACATTTATTATGTACTTGTAGCATTTTTCATTAAATATATTAATTTTATTTGCAAACATATTAGAATATTAACTGACACATAATTCCATGCTAATTATGGTAATAGCAGTTTAAAGGTTGTTATTATCAATTGACCCAAAACAGAATCCTAATATCGTGAAAATAAATCTCGATAAAATTGAGAAGACAAACTATGGCGAAAACTAATTCCCGCCGAATGCTGGTAGAGATTCATCGAACGGCGCCGGTGAAATTCCACAAGTTAGGTTGAGTTCACGCCATCACAATATACAAGCGAAAAGCGATAGAAATCTCGTACAGAAAAAACACAACTTTGAAAGGTAATTGAAGTCGGGCGAGGATTGCCAATCATGGTTTAAAATTTTTTCGTTGATTAAATTTACAGAAATTTGACTGTTAGGAAGGCGTCACCAAAGGTGGTTGGAAATGCGGTAGCTACTTTTTCTGAACTCTGCAGTTGTTTTTTGAAGAGACAACGATTGCACGTCCCTCCCCGCCTCCTTCCCAACGGGCAGGTCAAGTTGGAGATGACGAAGACAAGACCGAAGCTTGGGCTCGTGAAGATGTCGGCAGAATATGTTGTGTGTATAGGCAATATATTTTCAGTATATAATAAAATTTTTCATGCGTGCTGGATGATATGTCAACAGTATATGTTGCGTGTATATTGATACTATATCTTGCGTGTATAGACAGTATCAACAGTATATGTTGCTTGTACAGACATTATATTTTCACTAGTGGAGATGACGACAGTATGTGTTGCGTGTATAGGTAGTATATTTTCAGTATAATATAAGATTTTTTTGTTGAAGATGAAATTGACAGAGGAACAATTTGTTGTTTTTTTTATTGATTAATGTTTATGTTGATCATGGAAGTAAGTTGTACTGGTCATCTATTTTTATTTTTTTTGTTTTTGGTCTATTTTTCCAGTTTCTTTTCCTTGATCATGTAGTGAGTCGTACTAGTCTCATTTTTTTTTTCCCTTGGAAGATGCAATGTAATGTGGGGAAAATTAGAGAATTTTAAATTCCCAAGTCAATCGTGCACGTTGATTGAGAGTGAATGTCAACATATTTGAATCTTTTTGAATGTTACATTTACAATAGAATTTGAGTCAAACATATGAACAAAAGTAATAGAGTTTCAAAATTTTAAGCTTGTACACAAAACAAAAACATCACCCGCAATCTTAATTATATTTTTACCGTGTCATTTGTGGCATGCATTTCGTCTCCCCCTCTTCACGTAAGCATTTGACGGTTCGCTCACTATATTTTTTCAATTTGCGAAACTCAAAAGTTCGTACATTTAATCGTCAACATTGAAAGATTAAAATGAAATACCTAACAAAACAAAAGTTGTAATAATTTACTATTTAGCGTACATATAAATGTCACGGTCAATAAAGAAATTGATATTGAAAAAAATAACAAAAACTAAAATAAAATTAATAAAATATATAATTGATTTGTCTTAGTTTTAATGTGTGACAAATAAAATAAAATAGAAGCTTTTTTTTCTTCCTAGAGTAAGATAGATACAATCTGTTAGTTATATAGTAGTTGTATTATGTATTGTAGGGTTAGGTTAGATTAAGGCCCAACATAAGCCCATCTTTTGTCTTTATATACATGTACATACCTTTGTGATTTATACATCAAATATTTATTTTCTCACATTCTTCATGGTATCAGTTTATAGTCCAATATAGGGGTTAGTATTTTTCGCTCATCTCTGGCCGTCTTCAATTCTCACCTCCCAGATCATCCTCTCCGGCATCCTCCGGCGAGCCGTCGGTCAAAATTTCGGCCCATTTGACGGCGCGTGGGGCCCACACTCGCCCGGTTTCTGCAACAGCGCCAGCAGCTTCAGTCGGAGCGTGAGATCCACCCCCATCTCCGATCGCCGCGTTTCGTGATCTGATTCGTGCCTATATTTTCATTTTTTTGTGATATTGTGTTGATTTGATTTTTGGATATGGATCGTATGGATGTGCATTCTCCTATTAGTGTTGTCTTATCCCGGAATAATTACAGTCTTTGAGCACAGTCTATGAAGAGTTTTTTTATTGGGAGAAAATTGTGGCGGATTGTAACTGGTGATGTGGTGCAACCTGTGCATCCGTCTCTTTCAGGGGACCCTAACCCCACACCACAAGCTTTTACCACTTTCGTTGATAAGTTGGAGGATTGGGATAGTAAGAACCATCAGATTCTTACTTGGTTACGTAATACTTCAGTCCCTACTATTCAAGTGCAGCTTACGCTGTTTGACAGTGCAATTGAGGCTTGAAATTTTTTGGCTGCTCGATTTCATACTACAGGCTTGGCTCACTATTATCAACTTTGGAGCACCTTGCATTCCACCAAGCAGCAACCGGGTCAATCGGTCAATGAGTTTCTTGCACAAGTTCAACCCATTCGGTATCGTCTCCGACAGGCTGAGATTAGTCCGGATCACCTTGATCTTATTCAGATTTGGATGGCACATCGTCCAGAGTATGAAGCTGTTTGTGCTTCTCCCTTACATCGTCATCCACTTCCTACTCTTGATGCTGCTATTCAAGAGATCACTTTTGAGGAGACTCGTCTTCAATTGGCCAGGACACCACAGCTTGTGTTGTGTACAAATTATTTTTTTACCGAGTACAGGATGACTCCCGCCCTCGGGTCGATCTCACAAGGAAGGCTGTTCGGATTTAGTTTTGGTATTGATTGCACAGAAAAAGAAAATAAATCCTACACACTCTAATCAGATAGGGGAGGAATATATTATCAACTAAGAAATTAACAGCAACAAAAACGAACCTAAAGTACGAACTAGAAAGCGATAAAGAAGCTAGGGAATCGGGGATAATTTATTCAAGTTCTAAGCAAAACCGGGCAATCAATTGTTCGGTTCGGGATTGACACTCTCGCTTAGACATCTAGCGGTTCGCTCCCAATAACTCTTCGTAACAAGGGATTGAACATAGACGAGCTAGCTCAAGCATACAACACATGTCA